TCCTGCACTTGTTTGCCTGTGTGCAGTCCCATCCCCTTCTTAGTCATCTCCTTTCTACCCTCCCAGCAAGGGAACACTCAGATCTTTCCAGGGAATTACACTGAGTTACTGCTTCAGTATATGATTTTCATCTGTAAATTACTTTGTAAGAGAGATTTACTGCTATCCCAGAATGTTTGGACTTGGCACCCCTGTGCATCTGGAAATCAATAAACCATTACTGGAAATACAAAAATAAATAAATAAATAAAAAGGCTGCCCCACCCTGGGTGTGAGTGGTCCTGCCCCGAAGGTAGGCAGCCTGGATAGGATGTAAGGGACAAGAAGAGGGTTGCCACTCGTCGCTTGCTGCTTACTACTTCACTGCTTTGCTACCTTTTGCATGCATGAACTGTGTCTCCTCTGCAATGCCCCTCTGCCACATCACCCTGCCTTGGAGCGAGCCGACTATGGACTGAAACCTCTACAAGCTGTGAGCCAAATAAACCTTTCCCCTTTAACTTTGGGTGTTGGATATTTTGTCTTAGCAATGAGGAAAATAAGTAAGATACCAACCCACAACTATTCAGCCTGGTTAAAATTTAAAAGGCTGCTCATACTAAATATAAGTAAGGGACATAGAAGAACAGAAATGCTTATATGCTCTTAGTGGGGATGTAAACTGATATGGTCAAAATGTTCTCCAAAATTAGATATAAATTTACCGTATGATTCAGCAATCTCACTACTGCCTATGTGCTACAAAGAAAAATTAATATTTATAAAATCCTGTAATTGAATGTTTACATTAAATCTATTCATAATCACCAAAAACAAATAAGAAAGAACTCAGCTGTCCTACAGCTAGTGAATGGACAAACCGACTATGGTACATCCATACAATGGGATTCAACTCAGCAATAAAAAGTAACAACTGACTCACAACAACTTGGAGGAGCTCAAAGGCACCAGGCTAAGTAAAAGAAATCCATTTGAAAAGGTTATATACTATATGATTCCATTTATGTGATGCTCAAAAAGACAAAGTTGTGGCACATGCATGTAATCCCAGCTACTAGGGGAGTTGAGACTAGAGGATTACAAATTGAAGGTCAGTCTGGGCAACTTTAGCAAGACCCTGCCTCAAACTTTCAAAAAAAGAAAAGAAAGGCTAGGTTTGTAGCTCCGTGGCAGAGCATTTGTCTAGCACACACAAGGCCCTGGGTTCAAATCTCAATACCACAAAAGAAGAAACTAGAGCCCACTTTCAGTGGTTGCCAGGGTCTAGAGGCAAGGGCAAAGTGAGCTCAAGTACAGCACCAGGTAGTTTTTGGAATGACAGGACTGCTTGGTATTCAATTACATGAGTCTATATGCAAGTTTTAATATGTTATATTAAAATTAAAGAAACTACCAAAAAATTCAATTTGTTAATGTATGATAATTTTAAGTAACATTCCTATCAACGCATAAACTGGGAACATATAATAGGTCAAAAATATTAACTGAACCCCCTTCTGTCTCTCTTAGACAGAAGTTCTTTCTCCCAATAAATTTTTCCTACTTAAAAAAAAAAAAATTAACTGAAAAATAAATTGTCAGACACTGTGTACTGTAAAATCTCTACTTCTCAATGTACGACTGACTTTCTTGCCAAGTCCAGGATTGATCCTGTTAAACTGTTCCAAAGGCTTTTAAAATAATGAGTTTTTTTATTCCAAAATATTATTGACTGTTATTTCTGACAAGTACTGAACTTCTCAACAGCCAATGGAGACAGGCATGCTGGAGGTGTATCACAATGTAAAGGCACTCCCCACCCCATTGAGACAAAGTACTTCCTGGAAAAATGGTTGGTTTGTGCGCCTCCCTGGCTTCATTGCCCCGACTTCTGAGAATCAAAGCAGGTGAAAGACAGCTCCTGCCTTTATCTCAAGAAACAACTTTTGCTTTTGTAAACAGGGAACTTGGGTTTTACACAGGAGGCCTTGCTTACTCAGTCTGAGCTCTGTCTGTCTACAGTGACAGGAACAGCACGGGTAAACGCCCCTGCTTTTGGCAGGGATTCCCTTACTTCCTGGCTTGGAGTTTCAGCTGTCTTCTAATTTACAAAACTACCGGGTTTGTTATTTTAGATTTTCTCTCTCTTTGTTGTTTTTTATTTTAGCTAACTGCCACAAAAGAAAATGCCAACATGACAGTACCACTATCAAACACAAAATCCAAGAATTATCTTAAGAGTTTTTTATACAAGATAGCAATTTGAGTCTATTTTTAAAATGATATACTTTCCTTACTATACAGTAATATGAGTTAAAAATGAATTGTTTACAAAATACTACTTTAAACAAGGCCATTAACAATTGTGCTACTTGTTTATATTTTTAACGCTCGCCCATTTGTGTACTGCTTTTAATGGGAGGCAGAATGTAATCTGATGCCTGGATATAAGATACTTTTTAAAAGATATTCAAGACCCAGGACCCATTTGAGGAACAAATTATATACTCTCATCAGCATGCAATAATCTTAGTATTTGTTTTGGCAAAAGACAAACCCTTTTTAATAATAAGGACAACCCAAGATCCATCATTTCTTAAGTCCCCATAATTCATTTGAGTTTAAAATGAAGACAGTTTACATTAGGCTCCTTCTCTCAGTAAAATTTTCTCTCTGTAAAATATTCTCTCTAGGCATGTTAATTCTGCTAGCAGTTATTGTTTCTACCAATAAGTAATTTTTTACAGGAGCAAATACAGAAACGCCAAATTAAAGTGGATTTTCAATTAGTAAGTAGTTTTTAAATGATTCCCTTTCTTTTGTCATATAAAAGTCAAATAATGCCTGATATAATGAGCTCATATGAAAAGACAAAGAATAGCTCTTCCTTACAAAATTTCAAATGAAAAATACACAGAAAGAAAACATTTGAAAAAATTATTTGACAACCAACCAACCATTATTACCTGTTGCAGGTAAGACTTAGCAATAAACACTAAAACGAGAGCAAAATGCACAGAAGAACCAGGATTTCTATATACTCTATATAAGAAATCTTCCAGTTACTAAGGGAAAAATAGTAACTTTACAGCAGAAAAACCTGGTACACACCACTTTAAGTGAGCATGGTCCATCAACAGTAATGGGACAAATGCGTGCCGTACACCTCAACTATGAGAAGCACTGCTGTGGAATTCCTGCCCAAAACACTCGCTAGAATGCAACTGTGAGGACAGTGGACAACCACAGATTGAGGGGCACTGGAAATTACTGGCCTATACTCTTAGAACTCTCAAGGCCATAAAAGACAAAGACAGGGCTGGGGATTTAACTCAGTGGTTCCGCTGCCTGCCTTGCAAGCGCAAGGACCTAAGTTCAATGCCCGGTACCAAAAAAAAAGACAAAGACAGACTGAAAAACTCAGATTAAGAGACTGAAGAGGGCGGGAATTTAGCTCAGTGGCAGGTCCTGAGTTCAATCCCCACTACCAAAAATAAAAGAGAGCCTGAAGAGAAATTACAACTAAACTTAATGCTTGACCCTGGACAGGATCCTAATCCAGAAATATCGTTTTCTTTTGTTACACTGGCTATAAATGGGACAATTGCCAAAAATCTGTCTGTAGACAGAATTATATCTATGTTCATTTAAGAAATACACATTAAGTTATTTAAATGTTAAAGACATCACATCTACAATTTATTCTCAACTTTTAAAAGAATATTATATGTATATATAGAGAAAAAAGTGATAAAGCAAATGTAATACATATTAACATGTAAGGAAAGTAAGATATATAAGGATTCTCTGCTACTTTTACAACCTATTTCTAAATCTAGAATTGTTTCATAAAAAGAAACAAGCCAATTAAAATAAACTTTTTTTTTTGGTACCAGGGATCGAACTCAGGACCTTGGGCTTGCAAGGCAGGTGCAGTGCCACTGAGCTAAATCCTGGCCCTAAAATGAACTTTTTATTTTCCCTAGTAACAATACTAGGATTGTCACTGCAATCTTTTTCAGCAAATGCAGAATTTTAGAACCGGTATAAAAGTTATTATCCTTCTCCCAAACCTCTCAAACCTACAAATGAAGCCAAGGAAGTGTAACGACTGCTCAAAGATCACCCTTCTTTTAGTCAGAGCCAAGAGAACTGTCCAGGTCTGACCCCACTCAACTTCATCCTTCAACTATCCCAAAGTGTCTTTTGTTTTCTACTCTTAAAACACATGATACCAAGATACTTGCCCCTTCTCGTATATTCTGACATGCCACAATGAACCCTGCCAGACAAGCTAAATTTTATTTTAAAAAAACATTTGGGTTCCACTGCTACGACTAGTGAGCTCTGCGTTTGCTTGCTGTTACTGTAATGGGGACTGAACCCAGGGTATTCGCGCTAAGTGACATTCCCAGCCATAATTTTTTTTTTAGACAGAGTCTCGCCCAGTCCCTACATTTCCTGGGCTAGGCTCAACCTGGCCATCTTTCTGCCTCAGCCGTGCACCACTACACCCAGCTCTAATAATCTTTAATAGCTACAACGAATAAATATTAGAGTTTGGAATACCAGTCAAACACTATACCAAACATTTAAAAATATAAAATTAGCATACCATACTATTAGGCCCGTGATGGTAGAGACCAAGTTGCATTATTAGTCATTACAGCCTCACCACGTAGGACAGTACCTGACACACGATAAATACTGAAATTACTGTTACATGCTACAAAATAAAAGACAACCTACAGCACAGGAGTGATGTGCATCTAGAATGTATCCCATCAATGGGATTAATAAAGGGCCGCAAGACAAATGCTAAGGAAGTTGTATTTGTTGGGTGAGATCTAGAAAGGCTTCCGAGATTTAATGACGCCAAAGTTGAGTCTTGAAAGACAAGAAGATGTTAACAGTCACGGAAGCAGTGCGATGGTGACAGGAAGGCAGTGGGATTTTGATAAAACAGCCCAAAAGCAAGAAAATACATGGCATTTCTACTGAATTTTTAAACTCAGGCTTACCTATCGTGGCTGCAAGTTCTGGATCAAAAGTATCATCTGTGAACCTCAAGAGGAGGCTAAAAGAAAGAAAAAGATCAGGGAGTTAACATTCATTTCTAATCATGTGATAAATGTGTTCATGATTACAATTTTTGTCATAAATTATTAGGCACAGGTAAGAAAAGCTGATGCTGGTCTGCTCCCAGGAATACTGCCTCGGCACACATTTACGCAGAGGAATTACATTCTTAAAAAGAATTTAAAAGTCCCAAGAGTAAAACAGTTTACTATAAATGTATATGTACTTCTTTTTCCCTAAATGCAAAAAGGTAGGTTTTTGTCAGCTTTTAAAAAGAAAAATCTGCATTGGTATGTCCTTCTGAGAAGATACTAGCAACATGTGATGCTTTAACGGATATAAATGAAACTGGAAAGATAAGTCTTGGAATGCAACAATCACTTTGAAAAAAATCTGTTGTGTAATGCATTCTGCAATCAAAAACAGAAAGACATAAAAGCATAACATTTTGTAACAAGTAGCAGACAAACATTACCTAAGTGGGAAGAAAAGGTACAGTAAAAAGAAAGAGTAGAATAGACAACCCGTAACAGCCAGAGTAGGTGTTCTCTGGCAAGAGCTAGGCAGGGTACAAAAACAAGTAGGTAAGTGGAAGCTAATGAAGGCTTTTAAAGAGCAGAATGACAAGATCTGTTCTGCGCTGAAAAGTTAATGCCAGCAAAAGTGAAGGAAAAACCAACAAAAGCCATGGTTATGGTGAGAGGGACAGAAGCACTAAATCTTGCCAATGTTTAACTGAAAAGGAAAGAATGAAAGCAAAGATATCAGATTAGAAGGACACTCCAAGACATTCCCCTCCCTCATTATTTTACATAATACAAAGCAAAAGTGTTTAGTCTCTTCAAAAGATGAAATCTAAGCTTTGGATAAAGCCCTATACAAAACTAATCAGTCTTCTTTTATATTAACTTTTAAAGTAAAAGATCATTCTACTGACCTGTTTATATATTAATAAAATTAAGTAGTAGCTATCAGATTTCTGAGAGAGACATCTTCAAGACTATTTCTACAGGTTGTGATTACTGCTGCTAGAGATACTTTTGTCCACACCTTAATCAGCAAAACATACTGGCCTCTCAATAGTTCCCAAACCTAGTGATAGTAATAATTATATTTAAAGGATTAACTCTCCCTTTTTTGCTTTTCTTTTCTTTTGTTTGGCCCTAAGGCAGGCACCACAGGATCAAAGTTGAGCACAAGAGTCAAATTCTAGATTTTTCTGTTTAACGTCTTGACTATAACGTTTCACTTAACTTCCAAAGTGAGTTAGGTGATAACAGTAAGACTGTTAACGACAATAAAATTTTTCTTCTTGCCCAATGGAGTTACCCAAAATTTAAGAATAGAAAAGATACATATCTATACTTGGTCACCACAAAAAATATTACTACAAAACCACAGGTGAACAAATGTATAGTGATATTAGTAATAAAAATATCATAATACAAGTAATAATGTTTTTTGCTATTACTTATTAAATATATGACAATGTGCCACATACTCAGCCAGGGAGTTTTCTTCTGTCACTGCTAATCCCTGTCACCAATGGTACTTTGTCAGAAAGACAGGGAATTGGTCGTAGGGTGAAGCAACAAATTTTAATGTAAGCTCTGAGTACAAGTCAGAGCGTTAGACTAAAATGTATTCAAAAGTGTATACATGCATTTTTCTAGATAGTATCTTATTTCTCCACTAGACTGTGAAAGGAATTCAGAACCCCAAAATGATTATAAACCCTATTCTTAATACTGCACATTTCAGCTTACATATTTTCAAAGTTAAAGGAGCAAAATACTTTTCCTGCATAACTGGGAAGAAATAACTACCAGTGTAACACTCCAATAAAACCAAACTTATAATAAAGAGAGTGGGATTAAAACTAATTTGTATTTCTCAATTTAAAAACAAATTCATCTAAAAGAATGGGGATGAAAGGTGTGAGGGATAGCAATTTACATAACAGAAGGTTTCTATATTCCCTTCCCACTGTTACATTTTTACTTCACCAGGCCTAGGCACCAAATCAGGTTTTAGACGGTACACTGAATACTAGACAGTGCTGCAGATTTCTATCCAACGCCCTCACTCTTCCAATGAATGCTAGAGTGTGCAAGTATCACACACAAGGTTACACAAGCAGCAGCACTAGTTTCACAATCTGATCTCCTGACTACTACAACGAACTCTTTACACTCTAGCATTATGAAATAAACTGAAAAGAAATCTACCAATTTGGATTATGATACCCTTTGTTGTGCAGATTCCTCAGCAATACAACTGTCATCTTACTTCCACTGCCTCTAGCTCTGTAAAGAAATAAACTACTGGTGAGAACAACCCACAAAGAATGTATCTATGACAAATGTTTTTGTTCTAACTTGTCTTAAACGGAATAAGCGTGTTCTTTAGGGCAGTCACTTATTCTCATCCACAAAGCTAAACCTTCAAGGTTGTTTTCCACGGGCCATAATGTATGTCTAACCAGACAAATAAGAATTATCTCTCCAGATGCAAGCCCTTCTTCAAAGAGATAGTTCAAATTTGGCAGTGATCAGTTCATCACTGAGCATTCAGTATGCAGATTGTCTGGCAAATAAAGGAGGGAGAGAAAGAAATCCACTTATCAAACCTTACTGTAAAAGGGGAACTAATTATGTACTCCAGCTCACTGTACCTCCAGTTAATCTTTCAGGAAAGTTTCACACACCTAACTCACTATCCAACCAAGTACGGGGATGAATCACAACAAATGTCGACCAATTACTCGTCTTTTCAAAAACAGCATTCTGGCGGTGCCTTAATCAAATGAGGGCATTCTCAAAAGGAAAAAAGGAGAAAAAGAAAGATCACCAGGCTATGGAAGTGCTAGTAAAACAATGTTCAGGATATTAACTAACATATTAACCTTCAGGTATGTACAAAAATGGCCAGTGATCAGAAAAATGATTTTATTCGCCCCTTCAACACACACACATACAAGTCATACGTGTTCATCCAGTGTTTCATCGATCTAGTACGTCGTATGTTCAAATCCTTCGCACCAGTATTACAATGAGCACATTAAATGAGAAAAATAAAATGCACTGTCCAAGTTTTTCAAAAATATGTAACATTTCAGAATTCATTACATAATGAACTTCCAAATCTTTTAAGTATCTAAAAAAGTTAAGACTTCATGACTTAAAAGTTATTTGAGGGTCAGGGATGTAGCTCAGGCGCCTGCCTGGCAAGAGCAAAGTCCTGAGTTCAATTCCTGATAAACAAACCTAAAAAATTATTTGAAAAAGATGTATCTGTCAGGAGGTAGAGCTAAACATGAGATCGCTCACAGTACCTGGAGCTTCAATATTACAGAGAGATCAAGGCGACCCGGAACACAACCCACTCATAATCGGATGGCAAGGATGACTTCACCGGAACTGCGTTCAAAGTCTTGGGCGCAATCACACCCCCCGGGCAACTCACCTGGTCCCACGTCTTACCCAACACGCAGCTCTAACGGCTGTCAATTCTTTCCCCGGACAGGGTCAGACACATACTGCCAGCATGTCTTTTATCCCCCTTCGACGTGGAAAATGACCCCGGAGGCTTCGTTTTCGGACGTGGTCCGCGGTTTCAGCACTCGCACCTCACGCTGCACAGCGAGCGTCTCGGGCGATCTGCGGCCCGACGGGTCTCGCACCGGGCGCAAGGAACGGAGAGGCGACAGTAGGACGGGCCCCAGCAGGCCAGACCCGCGCCGCGGCGTCGCGAAACTTCCCGAGGGGAATACAGCGTCCTCTTTAGGGGGCGCCACGGTAATCCCCGGGGGCAAAGGGACGCCCGGCTCCGGGGCGGCGGCGCGGCCCATCCCGATCCCGATTCCGACCCCGGGCCCGGCCCGGCCGCTCTCGGCCCGCCGCCGCCACGCCCTGGCTCCGCGGCAGAGAAGAGGGCGGACGAGTGAGGCCGGGGCGCTCGGTGCTCGGCTCCCCGGTAGGCGGCTGCCCCAGGGCTGGGGCGCGGCCGGCGCTGAGGACTCGCGCGCCCAGTCCGCCTGGCCCGGCCCGGCCCGGCCCGGCCCCCGAAGCCAGCACAGCCCGCCGCCCTGCCTGGCCCACGCCCGCCTCACCTGGACTTGCCCACCCCGCTCTCGCCGATAATAAGGATCTTCAGAGTGGTCAACACGTCCTCGTCCATCGCGACCTCGCCGGCCGCCGAATGCGCCTCTCAACCCTTCCCCTTAGCGCGGCCCGCGCGTGCGCACCGCACCTCGCTCCACTCCGGGTGTTTAGACGGCCCGAGCCGCGTCCCCCCCCAGTTCCGCCTCCGGACGGGTCGGCGCCTGCGCACACCCGAGCCTCGGGACTCTTTCCGGGAGCGTGGGCCTCCCGCTGCGCATGCGCTTATGGGGAGCGCCCTGTTGACTTGGATGACCTTACTGCAAGCTGTAAACCTTACGTTGTGTAATCCTGAGAGGACGAGATTGAGGACTGAGTGTGAGGCTCTGTTGTTTCACCAACTACACCTCACAGCTGCGTCGCGGTGGGAAAAGCTTTGTGTTTGGAAGCAGATTATTTTAAATATAGGCTCAACTCTACCGTAGAAAATAATTGAATTAGCTTATGAGTCAGATCTTTAGTTATGGGAGGGCCTGCGGTAGAGTTGGTGACCAGCCGTGTGGATAAGAATTAAAATACGAAAAGACTGAGCTAGGACTTTGGGAAAGAATGAGCTTCCTCAGGCAACATGGCATGCTGCCCACTCCCTACTAAGATGCTGAGTTGTGAGGAATTTAAAATGGAAGCTAACCAGGTTTTTTCCCGCTCTAAAATCCGTTTCCTTTAAACCCTACTTCTTTTTTTTTTTTTTTTGGCATTGGGGGTCGAACTCAGGACCTTGCACTTGAGAGACAGACAGCGGCACCACTGAGCTAAATTCCTGGCCCTAAACCCTGCATATTGAAGAACTGGGTTAGAAGCCTGAGTTCCAATTGGTCATTTTAAATCCTCAGAGCCACCTAATTGTTTAGAGCCACTAAACAACCGAGCAATTCCTAGAATTGTCTAGAATTAGCACTGGATGGAGAGGCCGGGACCCCTACTGGAAACTGAGAACTACACCTCTTATTTCCAATAAAACTCCTAACCTCCAAGAATTGTGTGTGTGTACTTTGTCTCTTTCACTAAATTGTAAATAAATCTTAGTAACAGTATCAAATCTTATATATAATACTTAGCGAAGTATGTGGCAGGTACTCAGTAGACATTAGTTCTTGTGTCTTATTTCCCTACGCTTGAAGCTAAAGTTGCATTCAAGAGACATTTGATTAAAGAATATATATATGAATAAGTCCAGTCGTCAGATACTCAAATGGTTACTTTGCCTCCTTCAGGTCAAACGTCAATTTCTTAATGAAATTACTTTCCTGTCTAGATAACTGAAATGTGCGGATCCCTGTGGCATTCCCTATACTTCTTTGTACTGTTTTTCTGTATAACACCACCTTCTAAAATATACTCTTTACTACTTTGTTCACTTTCTAATCTTCCCTAAAGAGAAGTCCTATTAGGGCAAGGTTTTGTTTTTTTTCTTAAATCTGTTTTGTTTACTGGTGAAACCCCCTCAGCACTGGTGTCTCCTTAGCACTTAATATATGCTAAATAAATATCTGTTGAATGAATGTTCTAGAGTCTGTTCCTAACCTTGGAGAATGATGTCATGAGTCAACTTCAACTTCAGAAAATAGCTCTTGAAACTTCAGTCAGGTCTATCCAGGTTACTTTTGAGTACAGCACTAAGATTTTAGTTGGGGTTCACAGTACTGTCAGGGTCCCCTCTTCTGGGGCAATGACTCTAAACATGTGGTACCCAGATTCCTTAAGGGTCCTGAGAACCCGGGGGAGGGGTGTCTCAGATAAAACTATTTGTGTAATTATTTTATTTATTTATTGTTAAACATTTATGTTTTTGCTTTTGTTTTTTTGGTACCGGGGATCGAACTCGGGTCCTTGCACTTGCACAGCAGGCGGTGAAACCACTGAGCTAAATTCCTGGCCCCATTTGTGTAATTATTTTAAATGTTATTCATTTTTAAAAGTTTTTTAGCTTATGATAGCACAATGGTTTTGTCTCCCCCACCCCACCCCCCGTACCAGGGATCGAACTCAGGACCTTGTGCTTTTGAGGCAGGCATGGTGTCACTGAGCTAAATCCCTGGCCCTACGGTAGCACAATGGAGTTTTCCAGAGGCTACATATTGTGATATCAAAACAGACTGAAGAGGGCCGGGGATTTAGCTCAGTGGTTCCAGCACCAGCCTCGAAAGCACAAGGTCCCGAGTCTGATCCCTAGTACCAAAAAAAAAAAGCAGACTGAAGAGCTGATATGAGAATTCAGCTGTTTTCTGTTCAGCTAGATATTAGATTTGCTGAAATCCAAAACAATGTAACTCCTCAACTTTTTGTTTTAAAGTAGTTATCTTTGTTAAAAATTTATTTTCATAAACATTTCTATTAGAATAGTAATAGGTCTATTATTTTTTCTTTTTTCTTTTTTTTTGGTACCGCAGATTAAACTCAGGTCCTTGTGCTTGCAAGGCAGGCAACAGAACCACTGAGCTAAATCCCCTCCCTCAAGGTCTGTTATTTTTAAGTGAATCAGTACAAATGTTTAAAATTCTGTTTTAATTTCTGGTAGGGTAACTATTAATAAAAAACCACACCATTAAGATTCTTTGGATCCTCAAAGAGCTTGAGAACTGTTGCACTGTACTAATCACAACTAGATAAGTACAAAAGTAAAAACAAAAAATGTCCTCATCAAATTGCTGCCTATCTCTTCCAACGTGTAACACTGTTGCTCAACGCTGGCTACATTACTTTCAATTTCCTTCCTGCCTAGGCTATGGCAAAAGACCTTACTTGAGGGTTCACGGTCAGGTTTTTGTGCAATCCTGTTAATCATCATTTAAACATTTTTGTCCTTTGGGTTTTTAGCTTGGTTTTAGCTGCTTAGTCTGTATAAGCCACTCCTCGGTCTTATTCAACTTATATGGCTTCTTCTCATTTAACCTGATGACCCCAAAAGTTACAAATCCTGGGTGGAGATTTTTCTCCTCAAGTTCAGGCCAACACACACAATTGCCAGGACACTGCCTCATGTCAAGCTAAACACGATTGACACTGAGCACATTATCTTCCCCTCTGTTGGTTTAAATATGAGATGTTCCCCAAAAGCTCATGTCTTGAAGGCCTGATCCCCAAGAAAGCCGTATTCAGAGGTGAGGCGTGGAGAAGTGGGTGGATCGGGAGGCTTTTAAACCCTTCATCATTGGTAGATTAGTGCAGCGATGATTATACTTTGATGCCACTACCAGGAGCGATGGGAACAGAAAGTGGGTCACAGAGGCAGGAGCTTGGGACTGTGTCTGGTCCCTGGCTCCTTCCTCTCTGGCCTGGTTTCTCCCTCTCTGCTTCCCGCTGGTCGTGAAGTGAGCAGTGTGGCCCTAATGCCATGATGCTCCGCCTGGCCTCAAGCCCGCAGCAACAGAGCCAGCTGACTGCGGACTCAAGCTTCTGAAACTGTGGACCAAAATAAATCTTTTCTCTTTAAGTTGCTTATGTCAAATACTTTGTTTTCCACAGGATCCAAAGCTGACCAACACATCCTTTATATTAGCTTTTCTCCCATTTGACTTCCTTTCTCTCGTTTCCCACACGCATTTAGTCCTCACCATACTCCTTCAGGGGCCCTGAAATACACCCACTTTTTCCATCTCTGCCGCCACTGCTGTGGCCCTCACCATCACCTGCTGCTGACTGCTGTAGCAGCAACACAACTGCCCTTGAGCCTCTCCTCGCCTCTCTGCTCACACTGTGACACTCCTGCTGAAATGATATTTTTAAAATGCTAATTTGAGTCATGCTGCCTTCTTCAAGGCTGCCGTGGTCTCCTCACTGCCTTTCTAAGTGCTCGCTAGTTTACTGTAGGCCCTGATTTTCCTTCCAACCTTAGCTCTTGTTATTCCATGCCTTGCTGCCTGTGTTTCAGCCAACTTAACCACTTCTGTATCCTCACAGGCCATGCTTACAAGTCCCCAGGGCCCTTCTACCTGAGGTTCTCTTACTGTCCTCTGCCCCTTGCACGTAGTCACACACATTTCCCTGGGCAGCTCCTATCCATCCCCCATTATGGCTCTTGGATCTCTCACCTGGCACAACTTCCCTGGCTTCTCAGGCCAGTGTTACCTGCTCCTCCGATGTGTTCTGCCAGTGCAGAGACAACTGAGCCCCATTTACTGAAGGCCAGGATTCAAAGAAGAGGAACTACTACACTCACACACTTCCCTAGGGATGAAGAGCACTGACTGATACTCTAAACAGGCATCAGGCACCTTGGGTGTGGACCCAAACCTTCCTAGTCCATTCCTTCGAGGAAATCCTTGTTCCTCCATGTAGACTTGGGACTTGCTTCTCCATTTGATCCCCATTTAGTCAGTATTACCTAAGTGACTATATCGTTGTAATCTTAGTTGATTCCAGTTTTGTCCCACCTCATGATTTCCCATTGGGTCAATATTACCTAGGAGCTACACTTGTAAACCCATTAGTTGCCTGTAGCTTTATCCCACCTTGTACCCTCTTCACTGTGGCTTTGCTCAATAAAACACCCTTCAGGGTGGGCGGGCTCTCTTAGGAGCTATTTTTTCTCTCAATAAATTCTTCCTACTCTCAACTTCCATTGTTCCTAGAATTCATTCTTCAGTTTTAGAGAACACGAACTCAGCGGGTCCAGATATCTAGCAAGTTGGGAGTTACAACATTTTCCTTACATTATTTAGTTTATTTGGAGGTTCTATATTGTCCACAGATCATACGCCCTATATCACTGTTTTGTCTTCAGCAGCTCCTACAATGCCTACCCTAGAGTAATTGCTCAAAAAATATTTTTTCTGATACAAAAACCCCAAACCAACCTAACAAATTTGGAACAGGATAGCCTGCTTGTTTATGTTGCTGTTTACATCAGTTTACAAGACCCACAATGGATATAAGTCTCCATCTCGAACATTAGGACTGGGAAAAGAAACTCTCAGTGAATTCCAGCACACAGTCATTATCAGGTTCTGCTGGACAGATAAAACATGCTCAGATAAGACAAGGTAGTATTTTACATGCCTAATGAGTGATGCAGATAATAAATCCTCCAGAAAATGCAGACAAGAATACAATAATTCCTTTGTGTCCATGAGAGACTGGTTTCAGGACCTTCTGTAGATACTAAAATCCTGGGATGTTCGAGTTTCTTATATAAAATGACATAGTGTTTGCTTATAACTGCATACAATCACACACTTTAAACATCTCTAGATTACTTAAAATATCTAATACAATATAAACACTGTG